CACTAGTTTGATAATTGAGACTGAGTGAAGATTCCCCATTTAGCACTTGCCTGGAATCAAAATACCCCACTTTGAAGAACTGTAGCCCCAATCTTGCCCGTTTAAAATGGGTCTAACCCGATGCTTTTTCCATCCAACGTGCCATTAACCTGCGGAACTCCTTGCCACGTGATAGCCACTCAGGCCGACGTCTTAGCAGCATTGAAAACAATAAGGCGTGGCTGCTTATCTAGATAATACGAATCCCCATTTAGAATTACCAGGGTGAAATCGATCAAGGTGAGTTTGGGAAGAGAGAGAAACCAGGTTAGACGGGCCCCAGGGGTGTGTGCCTAGCTCATCCCGGTTATGTTCAAATTCTGGGATGATGGGTGATTAGGATTGATCGATTGGTGCCCATTCGTAATGAGTGCTGTGATGGAAAATAGAATAAAGAGTTCATTTTTCCCCTTTGAAATGCTGGGACCCAATTAGCGGGCCGGCTCAATCCATCATTTGGATCATCTTGTGGCCGGGAGAAAAGTTGCTAAACTTGAGAGATTTACAAGAAAAGCTGAGCTCATTCCTGTCCCAGCCTCGCTCCGATCTCTGCGGTGTTGTGGGGACAGACACCCCGACCGTGAAACTTACTGTAAATGTTTGGAAATCTCATTGGGACAAATGCCAGGAGGGATTAAAGTCAAAGGCCTGCGAGAATTAACGTCGCACGGCTGATCGACACCAGCTGGGATCTGGCCCCATGGACTCCAGTGGTGTCATGGCCCATGACACCGGCTGGGGAACCGGCCAATGGTTCGTTGGAATTTTTAGCCCAGCTGCGATAACCTTATTGACGGGCTGTTTACGGTTTCCCTCTCCTCACCTGTCCTTTCTTGGCACGCAGGGGATTGGCTGTTTCGGGACCGGGGTGGGGATGGCTGGGCTATAAACACAGCTCTGGTTCGGGGGCCGAAGTCAGCGACCAGCTCAGCCCTTCGGAGACACACCAGGGGAGCAGGGAAGGGGAGACTAGAAAAAATACAAGGCAGAGAAACATCACAATGAAGCTTCAAGTCACCTGCGTGATTCTCATCCTCGTTATCACTGCTAAAAACTCCTGCTGCTTCCAGGGCCAGGTAAACGCTTCTCAGACTTTTTCTTTTTTTTGTATGATGGTTGTAGCGAGACGTCCCAGCTGGGATCAGGGCCCCGTCGTGCCAGGTGCTGCCCAGATACAGCGAGAGACAGACCCTGCCCCAGCTGAGACCAGGGCCCCGTTGTGCCAGGCAGGATTATCAGCCCCTTTTTCCAGGCATGGGGAAACCGAGGCACAGAGCAACTGGCTCAAGGTCCCATGGGCTCTTGGCTATAGAGTCGGGAACAGAACCCGGGCATCTGGACTTCCAGCTCGGGGCGTTACCCAGCACTGACTTTCTTTAGGATTAAAAACACACACACACACACACACACACACACACACACACACACACACACACGTTATTCCAGTCCCTGGACCTGCGCCCAGGATCTGGAATCGCAGACAGGTTTGTGGAAGGGGAAACGGCCATTTCTTTTGCACCACAAATAGTTCAGATTGATTTTTTTAACCCAAATCACCTGTTTTCACAATATGAATGTCTTTTTTCTGGAATAAACTCAATGTTCTTAGCGGGGCAAAGACTGGTGAGCTATACAAGGGGAACAAAATGTGACTAGGAATATTTTCCCACTGTCTATTGAAGGAAAACTTTTTTTAAAAACTTATTTGCTACTTTTTGCCAGCCTTTCCGATAGGTTTATGTTCTGAATCTGTGGCATTAAATTGGTATACCACAATGCAACGTACATGTCCTGAGTTGCAGAAATATGTGTAGCAAATTAGAGGAAGAACTGGGGATTGAACCCTGGTGTCCTGATTCCCAGCCCCCTCCCCCTCTAACCACTAGACCCCACTCCCCTCCCAGAGCCAGGGATAAAACCAGGTGTCCCGGCTCCCAGCCCTCTCTGCTCTAACCCACTGCACCTAGCGTAGAGCTCAAGTCTGTCTTCTCTCTGTCTCTGCAGACAGCAAATGCTGCTGGTTTGTTAACGCAACAAATGGAAACCAAAGAAGAAACTCAGGGTCTGCAGGTAAGAACTGGATGGGGGGGGGCACTGTGCTGCAGGGGG